ATTGCGATGACTATTTTTGGCCAAACGTTACCCCAACGTTCTGCATTCTTCTGTGCCTTTGTTTGCACTTATTTATGTGCAAATCCTAAAACAAACACGATCAGATTTTAATGTGAAGCTTTTTCTTGTCACCCTCATTTTCTACCTCTCTTTTCTGTCATAAAGAAAGAAAGAAAGAAATTGCACCTAAGAAAGTAGCCCCACTTGCTCAGAATCTTCAAAATCAACAACATTGTTGTTCTGCTTTTTTTTTTTTTTTTGATTCTTTCTTTCACTTGAATCCTTCTAATCGAATCTCTACGTTAACCACTTCTACTTTCTACTTCTGTCTCTTTGTTTGACTTTGGTAACTGGGTGATGATGCAGTGGCAGGATCAGTTGCAGGGAAATGTATGACATGCTGAGGCACATGAGTCCTCCTCTGGGCCTCGGGAAGAGGTGTCCAGCACGGGTGGCCTACAAGGTCAGAAAGGCCCCCATCTTTATCTCAGCCTTCTATGGGGTGTCGTTGGGGATTTGGGTGGAGAGGGCGGGGCTAACGTGGGAGGGACAAGCAGTCTAAGCCCTCAACGTGGTGTAAACTTTAGTGTAACTGTTTCTTTGGTTTTGTTTCTTTTTTATTTTTTTTTTTGTGAAAAGTTGGGGTGGGGCTGGTCGGTGTTGTGGCCTTGTGTGATGGTGTGGATTTGGCGGGCGGAGGTAGCAAGACACTTAGATTGAAAGGTTCACGGAGGGCGGGCGGGGTTGTGTATCCACAGGAGGGGGCGAAGACGAGGGACCTTCTCAGCTCGTTTGCACTGGATACACGAGCTCGCAACACGTAGCGGCCCAACATGTCACGATAAACATTTGTGCGTTCCGTCATCAGAGGGATACTAATGCGTGGTTAGACTGTCGCAGTTAACTGCCGAGCAAATGCACTCTCATGCAACCGCATGCACGTGCAACAGGGCTTGGAAGGTCCGCCAGACTTATGTCCTCCGACTCGTTCCTTCCTGTGGATGAGGCAGACACACAGACGCACATGCAAACACACGAAAACACAAAGAATTAGGTCACGTCAACCCACACTGTAGAAATCTGTTCTTCCTCATGGTAGAGAGAGCAGAAGGGCTTGTGTCAGTGATGTGTTTCCTTCAGAGAGCCTTTGGGTGCCATGCAGAGGCCCTTCTTTTTCTGTCACCCTTCATGAAGCAGCTCCAAGCCCCCGGGCAGCCTTTTCTATCTGCAAGTCCAATCTTCTCTTTGTCCTTTGGTTCTGTCGTCAATGCAGTTCTATTCTGTTTCCAGCCCCCTTCATCTCTGCATATTGCTGCTCCCCATCCCCCACACATTTACACGCTCCTTCACCTGCCTCTCTGCACGGCCGATGACCACCACCACCTCCTCCTCTTCCCTTTCTGCACCCGCCCCTGTCTGTCAAACACCACACAGACACAAAGAATCTCACATATGTGCTAAATAAACATGAACAAAAGGATAATTACATTTATGAAAGTGAATGTTCTCATTACTCCTCCAGTGATCAGCTCTCATGAGAAAATCATTGGCAGATCACTTTAACCTTTGGGGGAGGGGGGGGGGGGGGGGGGGGGCAGCCAAACAGCCTGTAGGCACGAGAGACCATTTCATTCCCATCCATCGCTTTATCCAACACCCCCTCTCCCTCTCTAACACACTCAGGGAAAATAGTAATGATGCTGCTCAATCAGTTTTAAATTCACTTCTTTTTCATAGATTTCGGTCTAAAAGTCAAAGACAAATGCTTGATCTTGTCATTTCTATCACTTATGAGCTAATTGGACCCCCAAAAAAGTAAAGATTACATTCTGACCCAAATTGTTTCAAAGTGGGGTTCTGCGGTAAGGAAAATAATAGTTTTGAAATTATGTATCATTTTAAGAACACAGTTCTTTACAAAGAATTCTGGTATTCGTAAGCTGAAATAGTAGCGGCAGAGGTGAGATGTACCGTATTTTCCATCATATAAGTCGCAGTTTATTGCATAATTTACATGCCCTTCAACTTATACACTGAAATGACTTATTTATGGATTTTTTCCCATATTTATAACCCAATTTTTGGCTGAGATGTGACTGTTTTCATTCATTCTCATTGAAAATACTGAATACTACCATTTTCAGCCTCTAGATGGCACTCAAGTAGTATGGCATGCCGTTTGTCATGTAATAGGTAAAAGTTGCTATTAATGACAGTTGGCTTACCACAGTCTGCCACCTTCATCCAGCTCTGGGATCATTCCTGGAGCAACCGTCAAATCAACTTCATTACACTGTGCCGCCCCGGCAAAATGCAGCTAATTTGACCATTGAAGTGCATTTATTAAGTAAAAGTTCAACCTAGACACACGTTTATTATAAAGTCGAGCAAACAAATAAATGTGCTTATCTTGTTAAATTTCAAAGAAATGCGCAGCGTTCCTCCTTTCTGATTTCCTCCCTCTGCTCGCTTTCGGAGCACCAAGGCGACGAATACTTTTGAAATGCAGCTGATTTGATCGTCAAAGTGCATTTATTTAAATAAAAGTTCAACTGAAACACACCTTTACTATAAAGTCGAGCAAACAAATAATTGTTTTTAGGTGGTTATCTTGTTAAATTTCAAATAAATGCACAGCGAGTCGTCCCTCTGCGCGCTCCTGCTTCTGCGTATTGGCTTTTGAAATGCAGCTGATTTGACCATTAAAGTTCATTTATTAAGGAAAAGTTAAACTGAGCCACACCTTTGCTATAATTTCAAGCAAACAAATAATTGTTTTTAAGTGTTAATCTTATTAAATTCTTGTTAAAGTCCTCCTGTGCACGCTCCCACGGCTGCTACAGTATTTGGTAGCCCATTGATTTTTAGCACAACACTGGCCCACATTTCTGTGTTGTCAGCAGTGACGCGTAACAGATCCAACTTATATGGCGAAGCAACGTATTTGTGTTTTTTTCCCACTTCATTAGACTGATGTGACTTATATGGTGGTGTGACGTGTACGGCAAAAAAATACGGTACCATTTCTGGCATACTTCCTGCAAGCATATCATAATAATTCTGCAAGAATACTTGTGCAATGCAAAACTATCTGTGGTGTAAAGTTTTAATAAAAACTGTTCCCATTAGCCACTGTGGAGTTTTTTAAGACTTGAGTTGTTTTAAGATGGCAGAAATCTACTTTGGTCTTGGCCAGTAGCTTATCAACATGGTTTGTTTATGGCTAGTTTGAGAAGGACCGAGACAAAAGCACCATTTTAAAGAAATCCCATCTCAGAAATTTTATAACGATTCATACAAATGAACAAAGTCCATGCTCAGTAATCCAGGTATACAATCCAGCATTTTTCAGTCATCTGGACAGTTTCTTTTGTTTTTCTCAAAAGACACTGTCCAGATGACCTGACTGATAAATGTTGGATTCATGCAAATGCTATTTGGCAAACATTTCCATCTCTGTCAAATCCACTCTTACTCTGACCAAACAGGGGTGTCCAAACTTTTTCATATCTGTGCCAAAACTATCCAGATGAAAGGACTCGTGGGTCACAAAAAATTTGAACGCTCAACAATGTGAGCAATATTTTGGAGAAAGGACAAAAGTTGACTAATTTTGGTGGCAAAAGAGTTTCAAATTGTTGTAGAGCCAAAATATTAAAAGCCTCAAAAACACTAAACTTAGATTTTTATTAAAAATGATTTAATTTATTTGATTTGATGGGTCTATGTTTGTTGTTTTCTTGTGTTTGGAAAGTTCGTTTTAGTCTGTTCTCAGCAACAAAAGCGTAATTTGAGTAAATGTCCTTTTAAAAAGGGGGTCGATCAGCCTCTTGGACCATGGACGGGCCCGAAAGGCTAATTGAAGTTCTAAAAAGTCGTCCAGCTGTCAGTCGCTACAACAGATTCATAGAAGGTTTGATAAAGTTGATCAACTCGTATGTAGATGATACCACATTATATTAATTGAAAAATGTCCAATTTCCCTCTATTGATTATTATATCAACTGCAATTTATTATAGGTAACCAAGTTTTATGAATAATTATCCAAAAGTATGTTTTGATAAGAGTTTGTAAAGCTTTGTGGTGCTTTGTACACGAGGTGAAAATAAAAGATTCACTATAGCCAAAGGTTTGTATTTTACTTAATATTGCTCATTTTGAGAATATTTTATTCATCTGTTTTGCTGTTAAACCTAAACATTATATAAAAAGGATTACCAACTAATTTGCAGAAAGTCTGCGTTAACCTCTAAAGTCTGCTGGCCAAAATGATACCATTCTTAAACTGCAGTTGTGGGCCGCTCAGAATCACTACAAGGGCCGCAAATGGCCCCCGGGCCACACTTTGGACACTTCTGGTTTAGATCATCAGTTTAATCTTGATTTTTCTAAACTGAGGCCTTTTAAATATCTTAAGATAATGTAATAACTGTTCATAATATTACATCAGACCCCACTTTGAAACATTTACAAGCTCTTTCTACATCTTTTCCCCATTTTATTGTGACTTAATTTGAACACCACCCTCTCATATACACCCTTCCATCCTTTTCCTTCTCCTCTTTTCCTTCCACTTTTATCCTTTGAAATTGTAAGCATCCTTCCTGAAACTAAGAAAATAAGAAAACCTTATGTTCTCACAATCCTCCATGTAACATGCTGTTCATGCATGGTTTTAACAGTCATACGTCACCTCGATTGTTATTACTGGGAGGGATCCAGAAAGCCTCCATCGGTGTGTGAACACCCCTTCTAAAGAGAGCTATCCCAACCTTACCTTTCCCCTCCAGTCCAGAGAACAATGACCAACCCAGCTCTGCTGCTTCTGACTCTTGATCGTCTCTGTCCTGGAGAGACAGCAGAGCCTTCAGGCAGGACTGCTTTTACACAGCCAGCTAAGAATGGTGATCTTTCTGTCACTTTCAGTTCCCTTTTTTTTTATACTTTGCTTGGTTTTCTTTTATTTATCTATTTCTTTTTGATCACTTCTACTCTATACATGCTTTGACTCAGAGTGTTGGTTTTTATTTTGCTATCAGCTCTCTCCTCTTCAGCTTTCCATTTCATTTCTTGTATTTTCACCGCACATTTTTTTTTTTTTACATGTGATATGTTTGCGTTACATTGACCTGATAAGTTAACACCAAAATAACGCTGCCATGGTGAGCTTTTATTATATTTCCTTCTCTTTTTCTATTTCCACAAAACACTGCTCTCTCTCACCTATTAACCCTCCAAACCTGTACCCATTTTTTCCAGACATTAGACCTCAGAAAACTAGCGGCGCAGCAAATTGCGCCGCCATTTCAGCATAGCCGCATCAGAGTTTCTTATTGCTTACAATAATAACCACAATAAACCAACTCGCAAACTCATTTCAGTGTCGCCAGCAGAGAATACGTTCTGTGTACAGCTGCACAGCTGCTCGTCCTGTGAGACATTTCGTGTGTGCGCTGCATGCTGCATGGGGACAGAATGTGCACGAGGGACTTGTGAAAGATGGATTAATTGGAATGGAGGGAGGGAGGTGCACGATACGCTGCATGTGAAGGGTATTCGCCGGTTCTGCTTGTCGTCTTGTCGCCAAATACGTGCCAGCATCACGCCGTGATTTGGTGCGCCCCTACGTGATTTGTCTTGTTTTACTACTTGTCAACAGGACCTATAAAAGATCAAACCAATAAATTAAAACCATGGCGGAAAAAAGGGTTTTGCTTTTTTCCAACAGTTCCCTCAGTTTGTTTTTGGTTTGTTGGTTTATCGTCTGGTCTCTGTTGCTTTTACTGTGAACCTCCAAACCTCAAGTAGGAGCTCTGGAAGACAGGAGCCACTGCTCAGTCTGTCCTGCTGTTTCTTTATTATACACTTAAAAGTGGAGTTCAGATCTTCTGAAAGGGGGATTCATGCAAAAAGGTTATTAAGAAGTAATGTGTGCAGCCTCAGTTTGGAGAAAATGAGTTTTATTCTGACCAGACTGATGAGATAACTGCTAATACAAGCCGAGCCAGAAACAAAGTGGTTTGCTGACATTTTAAAACCACTCCAATCTCAGTAAATTCTTAGCAGTTCTTGTGTAATTTCATTGTATTTGTGTATAATGACAATAAAGGCATTCTGATTCTGATTCTGAATGTTTATGTACAAAGTATTATCTTCATTTTCACATTCTACAATTATTTATAAAAAAGTTCTACTATCCATTTGGGTCATAGCTCCACTCAGACTAGCCGTTATCCTGTTAATCTGGTCAGAATGAACCATTTCTCCAAACTGAGGTCGTTCAAATAGCTATCTGCACCAAGTAAGATATTATTTGTTCATTTGATTTCCACCGAACCCCATGTTAGAAGATCTGAACTATTCAAGCGTCATTTTAGGCCAATCTGGACGATGTTTGAATTTTAATAATTAAATTAATTAATAATCAAAAGATTAAAGGGCTAGTTGTACGCCAACCAAATGGAACAAGTAAACAGTTGTTAGGATATTTTCAATAAACTTGAACCTTTCCTGGCAGACAGACAGAATCCGTGCCTGCTGTTAAGTACTGTGCACTCCTTCAGTCTCAGACCCTTCCCCTCTCCCACCTCCCCTTCCCACAACAAATCTGCCCCCCTCCCCCGCCCCATGTCACCTGGAGGTTCCACAAACACTCTTCTTACTTCCCAACTTCCTCACTGCTCACCTTGGCTGGCTTTCTCACAGAGGTTGCTTCGTATGGATCTCCCCGTGGCCGATGACAGCTCAGTCCACTTCAACTCCACTCTCATGGCTTTGATCCGGACGGCGTTGGATATCAAGATCGCCAAGGGTACGGACGTTTTAAAACCCTCTTACTTCTTCCGATCTGGCTATAATCACATGCTTTCTTGCTTTTTACTCTTGGTGCAGTCGGGTTTCTTTGGCAAACACAATTCTCTAGCTGCTCACAGTTCCTCTCCCCCTGCAGCTCTTGTTGAGCATGTTTCCTCTAGAGTATACAAAACGTGCAGTATTTGTACAAATCTATAAAAAAAAAAAAAAAAGTTGGGCTGTTGAGTAAAATGTAAATACAAACAGAATGCAATGATTTGCCAATTTTTTTGGTTTCATTATGTGCTGAATGTTTTCAGCTGGTGAAAGGTCTGGACTGCAGGCACAACTTTTCCACAGTGAAGACATGCTGTTGTGACGGATGCAGTGTGAGGTTTAGAACCGTCTTGCTGAAACGTGCAAAGCCTTCCCTGAAAATGGTGTTTTCTGGATGGGAGTATATATCATTTTAAAACCTGTATATACTTTTTTTGCTCTAATGGTGACTTTCTAGATGTGTCTGTACCCCTATACCATCAGAGAGGCAGGCTTTTGAACCGTGTGCTAATAACATGCCAGATGGTCCCTCTCCTGAGCTCATGTAGTGATCGGACCTGTTTCAAATGCAATGCTGCCTGAGGGCCTGAATATCACAGATTTGAACTTTAACCTTTCCTCAGAGATTTTTTCCAAATTTTCAAAAGATTACAATGAAATTATGAACTGTAGGTGATGGGATATTCAAAGTCATCCCACTTTGTTGTGGAGAAACATAAATCAATATAACCTGTGCCCATTTTTACTTCTAAAATGGTAATTCTTTTTTTGGTTTAAACATTTGATGTGTTTACTTTGTTCCAGTGTGAATCAAGTCTAATACTTATAAGATTAGTAGACTATTGAATTCTCTTTTTATTTACATTTTACACAACGTCCTGACTTTTTAAGAATTGGCGTATTTTGCTTTTGTGTATGAGGCTGAATAAGATCTTAAGGATGAAGGTACTGTTACAAAGTGAAATGCTGAAAATTATGAAAATCACTAATTAAAAGTATTCTTTTTTTTTCTTGTTTGTACCGTTTCATGTCCATCTTACTCATATGGATGATGTGTGTGGATTTTACATCACATTTGGTGTGTTTGTTTTCTTGTGACCATGCACTTGCGCACTGACGTCCATATATCTGTGGATGTACCTGCATGTGTGCTGCATGCACTATAAATACGCCTAGGTGGTATCGACAAGCACCAGATGGACGCGGAGCTGAGGAAAGAGATGATGGCGATCTGGCCCAACCTCTCCCAGAAAGCGCTGGATTTGCTGGTTACGCCTCATAAAGGTGAGTTTTAGGGGATGGATGCAGGCCCCGTGCTCTAGTCTGGCTGATCCACCTTGTGCCGCCTGGTGCGCCCAGTGACAAGGAATCTTTATCTCGTTATGCGCCGCTGCTGCACCCTCTGAAACAGTTAGCATGTAAATTTTATAAGAAAATGAAGTAAAATAAAACCTAACTGGCACGGAACATGAAGACACGTATGCTCCTTTATATTTCAGACGACACCACAGATCCACTACTTAGCGTTAATGATTTTCCAGTGTCTGTTAACTTTTTAGTCACCCCAATTTAAGATGGCCACCACAGCTAAGTCTCCCTGCAACACAAAAATGGCTGTAACTTTGTCAAAGCTGGCATAAAAGGCTGTGGGCTATTCCTTCAAGGAATGCAGGGCCTTTAATTATAGATCACTTTTCACTTCGCGTTTTGAAAAAATGAAAGAGACTTGAACACATTTGCACAACTGCCCAGTTGCCTAGTTTATTTTATATGTTGCTCATATGATTGCTAGTATTGCATTCAAACTGTCTTTGCACGCAAGTTTAGACGTGTCACAAAGACTGCATCCATCTCTCAGTTGGACTACTTGCTCCATCGTTCGTGTGTTTGGAGGTGAACCATCTCAATTCCAAAGAGTCTAAACCTGCAGGGTAACTTGTCATTCTCTTGGCAGCGACGGACCTGACCGTGGGGAAGATCTACGCTGCCATGATGATCATGGAGTACTACCGGCAGAGCAAGATCAAACGGTCACAGGCACTTCGTGATGAGCAGGTACTGCAGTAATGTCCTGCCTGCGTCTGACCCCCCCTTGAAATAAAAGGCAGACTGACGTGCTGAAATAAAGTCCACAGGTCTGTAGATTGATTTCTAACAGCTCGGGCTGTGACAGCCCCAGGTTCAACTACCTGCAAAGCAATAATGGTTGTGATTTCATGTTCACAATCAAATGGCAGCAACATGAACAGCAAACACAGGGGCTGCCATCTAGTGGACAAAGTTTGTTGCAGTAGTTTTCCAATGGTTTTAAATGGCACCTTATTCAAAACCAAAGTTTTTTTTACAAAAATACTTCGAAAATCACAACATAGAAGGTTAAAGTTATGTATTTATTTTTTTGTCTCTACCGTTGTCACAGCCCCAAAAGTGTTGATACCTGAACATAGTGGGAATCTACTACTGACTGCCTGCAAAAATCAAAAATCACTGCATCTGCTAACCTTCCACAACCCATGCTTGTAACCTTGGACTGTTTGCACTGCACCCAGCCTTACTCTTAAAGGGATACAACTGATATGTTAAAGGTGGCTTGAATAAAAAGGTTATGAACAAACAATATCTTACCTGTTGTAGATAACCATTACAGCAAACTCAACGGCTAGCACATAACTATAACATAACATTCATGCACATTCCCAACATTGTTAGGTTTTTAAACTAGCATTAACATAAATTACTATTGGATTCAATAATCCCTTATAATCTTGGCCTCACTCAGCTGTTATAACATCAATCTGGTCAGGTTTAAGCTTTATTCGTCCACGTTGACATTGTCCAAACAGCAACCTACAACAGGTATGACATTTATTGTTTATACCCACTAAGAATGTATCTTATCAAAGTTAAAGATTTAAGATTTGCAGGTTTTTGCTCTTGATGGCGTGCTCCTCATGCTCGGTGCATGTGTTGTTTTTCCTTTTACAGTGTCCCTAGATAAAAAAAAAATTACCAGTACATTACACACTCACTCTTTTTTTTTTTTTTTACTTCAAAATCATTCATTCTCTCCCACAACACAGATTATCATCATATCTACATCGTGCAGTTCTCAGTCCTGCTGGTTCCTTTAATCACTTTAGAAGCTGGTCTTTGTTAATGTGGCAGCCCACACACAGTGAGGTCATTTCTGCAGAGTTGATGATTAAATTCAAAAGTTTACCTTGTGCTTTATACTTTCTTCTTGGCATTGTACTTATTTCTTGGACACGATTGAGGAGACAAGACAATAATATTTAAAAAAAACACTAAAATGTGGAGTTTTGGGGATGGCTTTTGCTATTTCCCCTTGCTTTTTCCCACCATATAACAGTTTAATGGACTCATTTAGAGAGGTGATGTATGGTTTGAAGTCAGCACAGTTCCATCTGCTCCAACATTCTTTGGACAGGCCTTTTTGTTTGTTTGTCTCTAGTTTTATTGATTATATTTCTACTTCTGCTACATGTTCTGCATGTTTTCATCAGTCAGATCAGAGATAAGATTATTCTCTTTGTCCAGCTCTGGTTTAAATTAATTTTTTTTTTTTTTTGTATCTAACTTTTTTTCTTTGGGGGGGGTGGGTGGCATCACTTCCAAAAATGTTTCTCATTTTCTTCCTTGAAATGATCTGCTTGGCTCGGCTTTAGACGAAAGCCTCCTTTGTTTGTTCCTGCTCTGCTCCTTTTCCCTGCATTTCCCTGTCAGTCTGCCTGATAGTTGGCAACGGCCATGTTGTATATCTCAAACAGAATCGAACGCCATTACTGTTTCAGCGCGTGGAGCCACCTACCCCCTCTCAGGACGGGGGTCCGGGACTTAACAACACCCTGCCTCCACCTGAAACAATGGGTGCTGGCAACAGCCTGTGAGTTTCACCTCGTCAGTGCGTTTTCTCTCCATGCTCTATGATTTGATTAAAGAAAACCGAAGTGAGGTCATTTTTGTGCGTCACAGGCCGGTGGAGGGTGGGATCCCGGAAAGCCATTCATGGGTGACGGATCGCGCTAAGGAGATGTCCCAAAAGGTTGGCAGCTGGAGCCCTGAAGGCCTCTCTGAGGAAGGCCTGGGAAGAATGACCAACTCCCAGGTAGACAGCTCAGAAACACACACTCATAACACACCGTTCCTTGTCATGTGTAAAGATGTGTGTCAGATTCACTGTCACGTTGTTTCTATTCAGTGAACTCCTGAAGAACAGTGGAGGACAGCTGTACTGTGAAGGAAACATTTATTCATAAGATTACATTTTCATTTCCACAGACTGCAGCGACTTGTTGGTTCATAACCACCGGACGAATGAACAATAAGACGATTATAAACGAGTATGAAGTAGAAATATCACAACCTGTTGTTCGCTTTGACGCTTCGTTTTTGTTTGTCTTCTAGTTTTCAGTCCAAAAACTCCCAACTATAATTTATTCTCCCACTGCATAAACACAAGCCAACATGGCACCAAATCACAGGTTCTGAGCTCAGCTCGTACTATCCTTACTCTCTTCTGGTCTTCACTATCGTTTCCTACAGTCTCTTACTTTATTTCTTTAATTTTCATTAAGAACTCAGATCGTCTGTTTTATTTCTCTTTCCAAACCCTCCCTGAACACATTTACACATGTCTACCGTGCTTCTGTCTTGAAAAAGACTCGTGTCTATGCCAGTGTATACCGTTGAACCTCTCAGTCCTTCATCTTCAACATGTCAATCCACAGAAATCTCAACAATTTAATCTCGCACCGCTACTAAGTTAAGATCTTAATGGCATACTGTTAGGTTCAGGTATAATCTAAACTTGGAGGAATTTTGCCAGTTTTAATTAATAAATTTGCAAGGCAGTGACAGAACACCTTATTGGACTGATATAAACTGCAGGGTGGGCAAGCTAAACTTCCCAAGCAGCTGTCAGTTTTACGTAACCTCATTTGGGGCCTGCAGTGTATCATTATTTGAGCAGACTAGGGCAGAGTTAGCTGATTAATTAGTGATTTTCGCCTTTTTCTTTTCTTTAATAATCTGCGTCCACCACCCCTGAGCATTTTAAGCCGATTAAAAGGCAGGCACATCTGTGGGCAGCAAAGTGTTGTTACAATTGACACTTTGCTCTATTCTTAATGAGTTTCCAGCAAAGGGGCTTTCTTTTCACAGCAAGTTTTTTTTTTTTTTAGTACAACACCGTCAGACCTCGAAAGAATCTGACTGCCTGAATTTGATGCAAACATTTCAAAGACCAATGTTATTTTACAAGAACAAAACAAAAAGATCTTAATTTTTATCTTTCAAAGCCATATGTATTGAAATTGTTTGACAGGAAATGTTGCTTTTAGAAAGTAAAGATGAAGAACTTTTTTGCTCAAAACTGCCTTGAAGAAACTGTAACCCAGGTAAGAACTGATAAACATAGAAACCTAAGGCTCACTTTATAAATCCCTTTTATTCCTTTTAAAAATCTAGTCTGTAATTTACAGGATTCACAAACAGTTGCATTTATAAATAAAATGTTCTGTATTGGCTTCATAAACTAGTTGTCCATTTCATTGCCTGTAGCTCAACTGATGACTTGAAATGCTAAGAAAAAGTGAGATTTTGTTCATGGCAGATGTGGGCAATATATGGTTTGAGGGCCAAAAGTGGCCCCTTGGACAATGCCCATCTGGCCCCAATATCCTTAATTGAAAAAAAAAAAAAAAAAAAATTAATTAATTGATAAAAATCTGAATTTTATCAAACTTCAGGAAGTCTAAACTAAACGACTTGGACAAATACATAATAAAAACATAAACAGACTAAAATATATATATATTTTAAATCGTTGTGTTTCCACAACTATTCTGAACCTTAATGACTCCAAAAAGCAAAAATATACTTTTTTTTTTACATATTTATGCTAATATGTCACACAAGCCAGTTTAAAGCCAGTATATCTTATACAGTAGTCCCTTGTTTATCGCGGGGGATCTGTACCCTGAAGCCCTGCGATAAGTGAAACACTGCAAAGTAGGAATAGTATACAAGTAGTAGTTTATTTTAGTATAAATATATATATATATATATATATATATATATATATATATATATATATATATATATATATATACATAAAGGCATTTTAAACCCTTCCCACTCTTGCAATATTCTAAACAATGTTTCAAAACGCTAAAACTCTGAAAGAGCACATAATGTCATGATTTCAGCTCTCTGCCTCCTCTGCTCTTTGCCACCTGCCAGCCCTCTTGGCCACGCCCACTTCTCCTCTCTGCGCGGAGATCAGCTGATCAGCTGCAGGAGGAAGCTTATCCTGCAGTGTAGGCTGTACAAAGGTGCAGCAGGTGCTAAATAATTTAAAATAATTTATTTTAAATAAAAATTACATGCCGATCGTGCGGCTCATCCATCAATCAGCAATCAATTGTGTGTCATGTCCAATCTTACTTTGAAAAACCATGATAGAGCGAGTCCACAAAAAACGAACCGTGAAGTAGCGAGGGACTACTGTATTCCTAAAGAGTGTTTAGGAGATATATTTTTATCAGCCATGCTAACCATGGTACAAGAAAAAGCCTGGGGGGGAAAAGTATGCCACATTATGTGTCTTATAGAAAAACTATATTTTCCCATTCTGATATGGCTCTTGGACTGCTTTGAATGTCTTTATCTGGTCCTCTGGAAAAACATAAATGTTGCTCACCCCTGGTTTAGAGGATACTTTTAATCTTATAAACTACACACATACAGACAAAAAAAAACCTCATTATTGCATTTGCCAGGTTATCCCACAACATTTGTCTCTCTGAGACCCTTGGTTCTCTTTTCTTTTCTCATGACCAGACTTTTCCACATGTCCCCTCATGTTCATGGCAGCCAGTCATACCATCTCCTGCTCTCCTGCTCTGTTTGCAGACGGTAGAGATGAAGGAGATGGGGCGGGATGGTAACTCGGATACTGAACACTTTCCACCAATGGAAGGCCACGGCAGGGCCGCTTCCATGCCCCGCCTCCCAGGCGACAACCAAGTGAGCAGCATTCTCACCTCTCCAGTGTCTTTGTGTTGTCTCGTCTTTTTTTGTTCCATAATTGTCACATTCCGAAAGGTCTGATTTGTTGCTTGCCTCTGAGGTTGCAGAAAGTCTGGAGTAAATCTACTAAACAAATTCCTGCAATTACTGGTTTGCATTCTACGTTGAGATGCATGAATAAGCAGTAAATGTGGCTCTCATCCTGTCATGACGATATTTCTGGTTAAAACATGAGTATGTTTTGCCAGCTCACTAGCCTCCAAGCTAGGTTTAGCGTTAGCAAAGCAAAAATCAAACCCTGCGTTCTGTTTTTCATCAGATGTCCTCCTGTCCTTTCACCTGCATGAAGGTTTTTAACTGGAGTTGTCCTGTTTTCCATCTCCCACTGTGATCCATTGTGGTGTTTCATATTACGGTGACTGCTCCGGTTGTCCTTAACACACAAAAATCTTTATTAAAAAACAAAAACACATACACAATTCTCTGCCCCAAAGTTCCTTTGTTCTTCTTTTGTCTGGACCCTGTGTATTTATTTGAGATTTTACTAAACCATGTCTTCCTAACAGTTAAAGTCTTTGCGGTCTTTGAGTTGTATTTTTAATCCCAGGACCCAAACAAGCATGACGCTGAGTGTGTATGTGGGTGTGTGTGTGTGTGGGAGGAGGTATGTACTCAGCAGATTTTTATCTGTAATCACAGTGTTCTCTGTGCCATCAGTGTATCAGTCCCGGCACTCTGCTGTTGTTTGAAACTCCTGTAAAGTGTATTTGTGAGTCTGCTGTGCGATGTGTTGTGCTAATTGTCGTAGCTGTTACGACGGAACCGAGGCGCTGTTTGATGAACTTCTTGTGTTCTCTGTAGAACACCTAAGACACATGTTTTATTGCGTCACTTAAAGGTACAGGCCTGTCGCGATAAACAATAAATCAGTTAATCGCATGATAAATGAAAATTGTCAACCTCATTTTCATTTATTGGCTTTATCGTTTTTTCTTGTCTCTCTCTTTTTACTGAAGACACTGGATGACAAAAGGCTCATCTCCGGTGCTCTTCACTGACCCCTCCCTTTCTCTTTTCTCTTTAAAATCCATTTTAATGATCCAAAATCATGTTTTTGGATCATTAAAAGCAGCTAAGCTACGAGCTAAGCTTACAGGCCGACCTCGGGGAAAAAACCTCAGTCTTGTCGAAACTCCAAAATTCACTGTTGAACCCTGTGCCTTCGTGTAAAACGTTTTTCTCTGCAAAAAGAAGCTGAGAACTTGTTTACTGATTTTTTATTAAAAGCTTTGCGTGAAAAATGCTATGCTAAAGAGCTCAAACCACAACGCGTCTGCCGTTTTGAGAACCGAAGAGAGACAGCCCATGTCATGTCAAGGGGCCTCCCTCCCATTTTTCTTAAAGAGGCAGGCTGCTCGCTCCCTCACTATCCATCCTTAGGTTCAAACAGTCTCATACTGCCATCCGGTGGTCCAAAAAGGTACTACACACAAAACAAATTACCAACATTTCTTCTTAAATTTGACAATAATTACTAATTATTGTCAAATTTCAAACAATATTATCGTTTATCGCAATAATTTCTGAGACAATTAATCGCCCAGCAAAATTTGTTATCGTGACAGGCCTATGAAGGTTGAATTAACATAGCTCAGGAGTCTGCAACCTCACCTCGCCCCTTGTGCTCACAAAATTACAAGTGTCTGGAGCCACAACAACCTGCTACAACTGTGGTTATCAACTGGTGGCCCATGGGCCACTTCAAATTTGTTGGAGGGGGCTTTCCTGGCCAGTAGGTGTGGCATGACAAAACTAAAAATTTCTAATGATTTTTAACATTTATTGAAATGTTTACATTAAGACATAAGAAAATACCAGATTCTTGTAAAGAATGAAAAACAAAATGTTTTAAATCAATTTAAAAAAAATTTAAACAATGAATATGGATTTTTTTGAATGGTGGAAAAATTAAGTATCCTTTGAAGAAGTAAAGCATAAAGTTAAAGTGAATATGTTTTACTCCTTGTATTAGTACTAGTATACACATCTTTTCAAAAGAAATTACAGGAAAACTGCTAAAACTAGCCATTTTTGTTGTTGCTATAACAACCAATAAAATTCAGTTTTCTGTTAGTTTTGGTCAAAGCTTGAACGAGCCGCTGAAAAGGGACCAAAGAGCCACATGTGGCCCCAGAGCCGCAGGTTGCAGACCCCTAGCATAGCTAAATCTACAATGCAACCCCAATTCCAAAAAAGTTGGAACAATGCATAAAATGTAAATAAAAACAAAATGATTTGCAAGTAACATATCAATCAGTATAGCAAAAAATGGGTTTATGTGATTTGCAAACCATTTTGTTTTTATTTACTTTTTTAATAAAATATTCCAACTGTATTTCAGTCAAATAAACACATTTCTGTTAAGTCAACTAGATATGTGCCTTAGGTTTGTTGTTATTTGTTTGTTTATGTCTTTATCACAATGCAGTGGTGCGCACCACACCTGTTGTCTTTAGGTGTTTTGTTTCTCCACCCGTCCTGCTTTAGTGTCAGATCAGACTGTGCGCTGTCTCTAATTCTTTTTCTGTCCTTCTTTCTTCTCTTAATTGTTGCTCTCCATCTTTGTTTGGTTTATAACCACAAACTAACATTCAATGCTTTTTGTTTACTTGTTCTTCTTTCTGTCCGTTTTCATTGTGTATAAAATCATCCACGTATTTCTTCTCTCAATATGTATTTCCTGTTTTGGTTTCATGTGTTGGCTCCATGTGTGACCATACCGCTGGTGTATTTGTCGCTCTTTGTGTGTGTGTGTGTGTGTGTGTGTGTGTGTGTGTGTGTGTGTGTGT